CACTGGATATGAAGATATTATGGGACGACATGGACTGGAGAAAGAAACGAAAATGGAGAAAGATTTGCAAATCTATGTGCATTCAACAAATTGGTCATAGGAGGCACAATATTTCCACACAAGCGTATACACAAGGCTACATGGATCTCACCGGACCACACTACAGAGAACCAAATAGATCATATTTGCATCAACAAAAAATTCCGAAGGACAATGGAAGATGTGAGAACCAGGAGAGGTGCTGACGTAGCTTCAGATCACCACCTAGTTGTAGCCAATTTAAAACTGAAGCTAAAAAAGAACTGGACAAACAGCACTACAAAGGTTCAATACAGCCTTCCTTCGAGATACTGACAAACTCAATGAATTCAAGATAGCTCTCAACAACAGGTTCCAAGCCTTACAAGATCTACTGAAAGAAGAAGAAACTAGTATGGAGGACAACTGGAAAGGCATCAAGGAAGCATTAACTTCAACGTGTCAAGAGGTTCTGGGCCTAAAGAAACACCATCATAAGGAATGGATCTCTATAGAAACACTGGACAAGATCAAAGAAAGGAAGAACAAGAAGGCAGCAATTAACAACAGCCGAACACGAGCAGAGAAAGTCCAAGCACAAGCTGAATACATAGAAGCAAACAAACAAGTGAAGAGGAGCATTAGAGCCGACAAGAAGAAATACGTGGAAGAACTAGCAACGACGGCAGAAAAAGCTGCTAGAGAAGGAAATATGAAACAGCTTCACGATACAACGAAGAAACTAGCAGGGAAATACAGTAAACCAGAGAGGCCGGTCAAAGACAAAGAAGGCAAGCCAATCACCGAAATTCAACAACAGCGTAACAGATGGGTAGAATACTTCGAGGAACTCCTGAATAGGCCGGCTCCAATGAATCCACCGGACATCGAAGCAGCACACATAGATCTTCCTATAGATGTCAACCCACCAACGACGGAAGAAATTAGAATGGCCGTCAGACAAATCAAGAACGGGAAAGCAGCAGGACCCGACAACATACCAGCTGAAGCACTGAAATCAGACATCGAAGCAACCACAAGCATGCTTACCTTCTATTCAAAAAGATTTGGGAGGAGGAACAAGTGCCGATGGACTGGAAAGAAGGACACCTCGTCAAGATTCCAAAGAAAGGAGATCTGAGCAAATGTGAAAACTACAGAGGCATTACACTACTGTCAATACCAGGGAAAGTCTTCAACAGAGTGTTGCTGAACCGGATGAAGGATGCAGTAGACGCCCAACTTCGAGATCAACAAGCTGGATTCCGTAAGGATCGGTCGTGCACAGACCAAATTGCAACACTACGGATCATCGTCGAACAATCAGTTGAGTGGAACTCATCACTATACATCAACTTCATTGATTATGAAAAGGCATTCGACAGTGTAGATAGGAGGACATTATGGAAACTTCTTCGACACTACGGAGTTCCTGAGAAGATTGTCAACATTATCCGGAACTCATACGACGGACTACAGTGCAAAGTAGTGCATGGAGGACAGCTGACAGATGCATTCCAAGTAAGGACTGGAGTCAGACAAGGCTGTTTACTCTCTCCCTTCCTCTTTCTTCTGGTGGTCGACTGGATTATGAAGACCTCAACATCTGAAGGAAAACACGGAATACAATGGACAGCTCAGAATCAATTAGACGATTTGGACTTCGCAGACGACCTAGCCCTCCTATCACGTACACACGAACAGATGCAGATGAAGACAGCCAGTGTAGCAGCAGTCTCTGCATCAGTAGGCCTCAGCATACACAAAGGGAAAACCAAGGTCCTCAAATTCAAAGCGGAGAACAGCAATCCAATCACTCTTGATGGCGAAACTCTGGAAGATGTAGAGTCCTTCACATACCTAGGAAGCATCATCGATGAACAAGGAGGTTCAGATGCAGACGTAAAGGCGAGGATCGGCAAAGCAAGGGTCGCATTCCTACAATTGAAGAACATATGGAACTCAAAACAACTTTCAACCAATATCAAAGTGAGAATCTTCAATACGAACGTCAAGGCAGTTCTACTGTATGGAGCTGAAACTTGGAGAACTACAACAACCACATCAAGAAAGTACAAGTATTTATAAATAGCTGTCTACGCAAGATACTCAACATCCATTGGCCGGATACCATCAGCAATAGCCTTCTGTGGGAGAGAACAAACCAACTTCCAGCTGAAGAAGAAATTAGGAAAAGACGATGGAAATGGATAGGACATACATTACGCAAATCGTCAAACTGCATCACGAGGCAAGCCCTAACTTGGAATCCTGAAGGGAAGCGAAAAAGAGGAAGGCCAAAGAACACATTGCGTCGGATTATAGAAGCAGATATGAAAAGGATGAATTACAACTGGACGGAGCTAGAAAGGATTGCCCAGGACAGGGTTGGATGGAGAATGCTGGTGAGTGGCCTATGCTCCTTCACGAGGGATAACAGGCGTAAGTAACTAAGTAAGTGATAGAGTATCGCGTCAAAATTAGTCTGCGATCGCATCAGCTGGAAGGACGTTGAGCGTGTTCAGTGTGTGTGAATAAAATAAGTGAAGGGCTTTTCCAAGCCCCCTTACGATGAGCGCTTAAAATATCTAAACCTTTTCCCCTTGTATCGTAGTACGCGGGGTGACCTTATACTGGCATCTCGTATTTTTAATTACGATTTGGGTGTAAATATGTCCTATTTTTTCGTTTCCTCCAGCATTTATAATCTCCGAGGTCATAGCAAGAAGGTTCACAAACCACGATCTAATAAACTTAGAGTGGGGTTCCGTTTTTCCCATCGAGTGGTCGATGACTGGAACGCCTTAACAGAACAAGTGGCATCAGCTCATCAGTGAATATTTTCGAGGAGGAGATGACCCTAACTGGAAGACAAAGTTGTCAGGATTAACACAGGTCTACTAACCTACTATCTTTTTATAAATCGCTGAAGTCTGGAGTTACAGGCGGAGGGTATTTGTCCTCAAGGTCATTTGGCCAGATTGTCCATGTGGCTGTCATGTAAATTCCTTGATTATTTAATGATTTGATTTTCGTTTGGAGTTTGTGGGATTTTACACCCTATATGCAGATGAAACTAAATCTGCCTGTCGCTAACTTTATTTTTTCCAAGAAAGGCGCGTTTCCCCATTATTTTTTAAATCTTTTTCCACTTTATTTCCCCTTCGTTCGCCTTCATTACCCCTTTTTTGGTTGATTGGGCTCCCCAAAGTTTCTAGTGGGTCTTCGAAACTTCTATAGGGATTAAGATGGTAATCAGCTTTCTGTTTCTAATCCATGACGTGTACCCACACTGGTCATATATAACGACTTCAGCAAACTGAAGTCGTTATTTCCTTATAAGGAAATACACTTGGTCATAATTGTATCATGGATCAACAGTCCACAACACGTAAAATCCAATAATGTCTGACAGGTAAAAGACTGTGAAGGATATGTTAGTTTTTTTGACATAAGTGATTTTATTGAAAGACATGCGTGGTTAGTGACATTAGTATTCCAAGTCTATGAGTAGGTCGTTGGTCGCACCATAAAGCTACTGCACTTTGTAGCCACTACCACTAATACCAAAATACGCTGCTCAAACTGGTGATTTTAAATGTATGTTCAAGAATCCGACCCTCGTAATGAGGGTCTAATACTTAATCCTCGTGAATATTACTTGTGTACTGTACATTTGAGGACTATTGCTACTCTTCTGGTCTACCAAAGTGGTCGACTGAATTAGATATTCGGACAACTAAGATTCTAGCTATTTGGCTGAATACCCACCGTATGCTGTTTAAACCATTCGTAAAATTCAATAATTACCGGAAAAGCTCTTATTCGTTTTTATTGACTTCAGCTTCTGAACCTAGTCTGTGGTGCCGCATAAATCTTACTTTATCGAAACCCAGAATAAATTTTGAACCTTTCTAATCCACAACAAAATGGTCAGTTAATATTATCTCATGGAGCTAAGTGTTTTCAAAGGTTTTTAAATAAAATTTCATGCCTAGAAAGGCTGAATAATAATCACGTAAAAGTAAGCTACACGCAGATAACGTTGTTGCATTCGATTATTAATATTCCACAGTCTAAACTATTCTATCAGGCTATTTTAATGAAGACTAAACAAACTTTGTGTGATTAGACTGGCATCATAACTAAGTCAGTAGAGAATTGAAAACTACATAATGACCATCTAGTTCTTTAGATTAAGCGTCGTTTCGTTTTTATGGGAGTATGTACAGAGTATTTAAGAAAGATGTCTTCCTGTTCCTATTATAAAGCACTACTTTAAGCAATTAACTTGCTTTTTATTCAGAATGCAATAGGGATTGGTGTCACATGTCGGCTGGTTATTCACAGATGTCTGAATTGTAGTGATCGTGCAAAGGTGTTTTTCAATAAGCAGCATTATTTTCTACCGGTGGATACGGAGAATCCACCTAGGGGAGTTGAAAAACCCTCATCCCAAACCAATGGTGCATATCGGCTCCAATATCCTGAAGGAACAAGTGGCATATGAACCAATTGTTGATCACTGGCTACCATGGGACTGCATCTCTCAAAGTTGCTCCACTGCCTTGTGGATTAGACCTTTAGGTCGAAGGCTCGGGGTGCGGCCCCCTAAGAAAACCACCTGTTTTGGTTTGGGCACCCTGGCAATATCCCAGCCCTCACACAAATCGAATGATTTATGTGATGCGTATCTATTCGGTGCTTCCTTGTACCAATGTTTGTGTGTTTAAATAAATAAATGATTTCTATTATGGCTTTTAGACATGCATTCTGTCGTAGAAATTCAATACAAATAGTCGTTTGTGACTATTAGATTCTAGTGAAATTTATGATGCTTTTATATCTAATTTTTACTTTACAAGTTGTTTTGTATTTCACTTAATATTTTGTTTCCAAATCTTTTTTAAAATAAACTAGTTCGCTACTTTCAGGCGTTTATGTCGCAGTAGCTGTCAGTTCAGTTCATCTCAATTCGTAGCATGAAAAACGACCTGAGTATTTTTTACACGGAAGCTGCTTATTTAGTTTGTCTAGTCAAAGGACAAGTTTGTCGATTGAAAACTGGTTTGTATACTAATAAATTTACAAGCGTAAGTCTTTAAACAGCCTACAGTTTCCTGTTTTCCCCTTCTTCCCCGACGAATTTCAGATAATCTTTTCACGCATGTTTTACTCATACAATATTGTCACTTGAAGTACTCTGGCTACACAGTAAATTCTATCTTTTTGGAAGTGTAATATTGATAAGAAACGTTTAACTACGAATTAGAGTCACAAAAGTCAGTCGGTCAGTTACAACGTAGGAACAGACACATATATGCATCTGTCAAAGTTGCTATACCTCCTTAGCACAACAAGATGAACACCGAATTCATAGAAGTAGTTACTTTAATGGTAATAATATATAGAAGAATAATTGTTTATAAGCATATGATACAGGGAAGAAGAATTGATTTATATATATATATATTATATATATATATATATATATATATAGTAATTTTAATCCCACGGTTTAAAAAAAGACAGAGTGTATACACCGACGCCATTGTGATTGATTCTGAGCCACGTCACCCAGATTCTCCGACCATTGGTTACGATAGTCACGCGGACCCCAACCAAGTAGTCTGCATCTACCAACGTGGCTCAAACCAGAAGTTAGTGACTTTGTGGACTGATGTCACGTTTTGATTTGACCACCCCTAACTTTTTTCCAACCATCCTTAACACTAATCATCACAAGAATCTCATCCGTGTAACACTGAAATTGGATTACTTTACAATTAAACGATGTGTTAAATACAAGAAAATGTGTACTAAACTTGCCACTAAATAACGGACTATTACGTTTGTCGGTCCACCGTGTACTTCGAATTCATTCTATCGTTTAACTGGGTATCAACAACTGTATGTAATGTGTTCTTGAAATTTTTCTTTTAAATGTAATGTATAAAGAGAAATGCCAGGCCCAACTTGTCGTATTAGTAATCATAATCTCTTTATGTATACTGAGATTTAATTGTTTACCACTTCACTGGAGTGCTTTATCACCTTTAATACATAAGGTGACTGATATCTTCAGCTTTCCACTTTTCCATAGACAAGCAAAACTAATTACATCAACCTTTCACTGTCACTTTGCATTTATAACTATGACATTTATACCATAGGATTTTACAGTATTCAGGTCACTCTTCGGTATCACATTTATGCTTCATCAATGAAACGTCAACTTTACCAAAGAAGGCTTCATCTTAGTATAGTCAATACATATTCAGTCGAAACCTTATTTAAACTTCACATACCAGAGTTCACTGAGTGCCAAGTGACAAATTATCGAGTGCCTTGTGGTTGTACATATCTAACACCTTTTTACTATTAGTATATACTCTCACCACAAACGAGTTAAGTGTTTAACTTTTAATCTCGCACTAGCCTTTCACCAATAAGTCCAAATAGATATCACTACTAACTACTATCTTGTGATTGAAGTGAATGTTGTCGTATACTAATTGTTGTAGTATACTGAGATGAAAACTTTAAATTCCTTCACAAAAGTTGATCGATCTAGTTTGCTGATCATGTTAGTTATTGAAATAAGGCATTCTGATATGCAAAGTCAAATGGAATCTTATAATTAGATAACATGACCAAAGTGAAAAATTTTCCAAAACATGCTTTGATGTTTCTTGAAAGTCCACCTGGGTTTAGTGCTTTACCTTGATGTAATTCAATAACAGGATTTTCAATTTTTGTAAATGTTATTTGGCTTATACTGATAACCTCTAAATCTATGAACTAACAGTAGACATGTGAATCATCATTTCTAATTACTTTTTACTTCTCGAATTCACACATTTTGCAAATGGTCCTATGTAATCAGTGATGATTGTAATTCCTATTATATATGTAAATCATTTGCCAAGCGCTGGTACATGTACTTAATTTTAATTGATTTTATTTGCATGTTAGGATTAGTGATAGTACTTGACTGCTAAACGAAAGTAGTTAGAGCGGAGTCATTTTATATGTGTATAAAGATTACCTATTGTCATGTAAAGTTTTTAAACTATAATGATGTCGGTAATCTTTTACATTAGGCAGGTATCACAGATTCAGTGTGGTTAAAGTCCTTTAAAATTTTGTGTTTATTTATTTATTTAAACACATAACCATTGGTACAAGGAAGCACCGAATAGATACGCATCACATAAATCATTCGATTTGTGTGAGGGCTGGGATATTGCCAGGGTGCCCAAACCAAAACAGGTAGTGTTCTTAGGGGGCCACAGCCCAAGCCTTCGACCTAAAGGTCTAATCCACAAGGCAGTGGAGCAACTTTGAGAGATGCAGTCCCATGGTAGCCAGTGACCAACATTGGTTCATATGCCACTTGTTCCTTCAGGATATTGGAGCCGATATGCACCATTGGTTTGGGATGAGGGTTTTTCAACTTCCCTAGGTGAACTCTCCGTGTCCATCAACCCGGTTAAAGCGCCTGATTTTCTCTTTTCGTCCTCTCAACTTCGTAAACAGCAGCCGTGGTGCGATAATAGAGTGAGTGGGACTTTCCTATCAGTGGCCATGTGATGAGAGCATTTGGTGAAGGAGAGCGGACTCTTCCCACTCTCGGCGATACCAGGGCATTTTGGGACAAAAAAAGTTGTCACATAGTTTCACTGAATATTGTCTACCTTTTTTTGTAAAGACATCATCATAAATTTATCTCCTATTTTTACTCATATTAATAAGCTACTTTTGTACATTTCTAGAATTTACGAAAAATCTATGCATTAGCATCAAAAGCTCTTAGTTCCTATGGGATATTACTTCAAACTCTTAAAAAAGCCAATCTTCAACCAACAACTAAAATTATTCATTTATCTTCAAAAAACAATCCTAACAATAATAATGATGATAATGATGTACATGCTTGTGCTCATTGTTATTTGATTGTTTTAATTCATGATTTATTAAAAGAAAAGAAAATATCTCATCATTTTCTACTTTCACAAATTCATGAATTAACTAAAGATTCTTTAGCTGTAAAAAAACTTCGTCATGCTTATCAATCAGTTGATAAATCATTCAAATCACAAACTGAAAATCAAAGACAAAATAAAGGTTTGTCATCAGTACTTACTCTTTTTAACATTGAACTTCATTTGTAGTAAACTATGTATTCAATGTTGTTTTTTAGATGCTGTTAATCTGAATTGTTAACATTCAATCAATTAGTGATAGGTTTTAATTTTGTTTGACTAATTACAGTTTAGATAGTTGTGCATTACCATTCAGTCAGTCGATAACAACGTAGAACTTCGTACGTACGTACGTACATCAGTTCGAGTTACCATACCACATTAGCACAGAGATGCAGTGGTCGATTCAAATCCCGTAGTGATAGAGATAGTAAAAGTATAAACAGTAATCGGAAACATTAGGACTTGAAGATGTTATTCAAGGAGTGTAATCCAGTGAAATAAATTTGGAAAGAAAATAAGGGGCATAAAGAATTCAGAAGATTAGAATTTGGGAGGACACAAAGAGTAGATGCACTTGCGCCGTTCCAAACAATTTTGAGCCATGCCATTCAGGGTCTAACTATCGGTTACTATCATCTCGCGGATCCCAACTAGGTAGTCTACACCTACCAACATGACTGAGTCGACTTGTCAGTGACTTCATGGACTTGTGCCATGTTTTGGCCTGGCCGCCCTTAACTTTCTTCCAATCTACTCCTATACCACTGAACATCGCACGTTGAGGCAGTCGGTTGTTGGGCATACGTAACACGTGCCCGTGCATTACCATTAGCATACTTCAAACGAAAAATCTTTATATTCAATGCTCATGTCAAAGCTTTGATTGCTTTGTTGTTGCCTCTTGACGTTATATCGCATATTAATTTTGTTTAAAAGTTTGACGCCCCTAGGTAAAATATGTGTTTCATCCCTCAAGAGCTCGATAAATCATTCCGAAGAGAGCATGTACCTGTTAAGTAAGCACTTGTTTATACACACAAGTATTATTAGTTTAGGCAATCGGATAGCATAGGGATAGCTATTCTGATGGAGTTTCGTTTTCTGAGCTGGTTGGTTTAGTTGTGGAGCTTTCATTGTTCTTTTGAATATCGTCAGTGGAAACTTCAGGTAGAAGTGGAGCGAAGTGTCCGGATTTCTCTACATATGACTTACAGCTTGTCCTGTCCAATACGATCTTGACTGGTTGTTGTTGTCATTGTCCGCTTATTTATTGTGATTGGATCTCCTTTTGATCTGATTCTTGATCCTAAATTTGTCCATGGTTTTTCTGATTGGTTGATAAACTGGATCGATCTTGATGTGTTTGCTGATTTCTGATTGACCTAAGGGCTAAGCTTCTAAAAATTCCCTGATGTTTTTAGTATTTCCTCTATTCAAGAAATTATTCTAATCGAATGTGTGTCCAAAGTTGTCCACATGTATTCATGTAAGCGAAGATATGTGATGGCGTTCGATCGCTAATTGATGTTCATTCAGGTGAAGATGAAAGGAGTGTCCACTTTGTTCTATGTGGTGTTTTTCGTAATTGGGACAGTTCATTTTGTAGATGATGTTCTGTTTTTCCTTGTTTGCTATTTTATCCTTTGGTTTGCATAAGATTGATTGGAGTGATTTTGCTGGTTTATGTACTACACCTATTCCAAACGGCTTCAATAATCTCACAATTTCTGATAAATCTTTTATATATCGTAAGATGATCCTTTTGTTGGTTTCTGTATCCGACTTCGTTCCTTCTGATGAGTTGGGTTGGTATTTTTTCGTCGAATTTGTGTAGGTATCCGTTTTTTAAAGATAGTCTTTAGATATTTTTCTTCATTTCTTCGAGTTGTAAATCTGCTGTAGTACGTTTTCACCCATCTAAATAAAGTTTATACGCAGTTGATTTTGTAAGTTCTTGAGTTGTTGCCACCGTAGTTGGGAATTTAATCTGTTTGGGTTGGCTTCTGATATACTTGAGTCTTCGGGTTTTCCTGTGTCAATTCTGGTGATCAGTACATCCAAGAATGATAATTCGTTTTTCGAATCCTTTCCCATTGTGAATTTTATGTCATCGAAGATGTTGCTGATCAGATCGTAAATGTTTTCCAGCTTATCCTTTTTGATGATGACGAATGTGTCATCCACAAAACTGGTCCACATTTTCAGCTTGATCAATCGTAAAATCGAGGCTTCTAGTCTGTGCTTCACTGCTTCTACTTCGTTGAAACCATCCATTTCAAGGAACAAAGCTCCAGCAAAACCATTCATCTGAGCTACAAATTTTACTATTTTAAGAGATAACTTTGTTGATTTATAACTCTGTCTGGAAATCGAATATAACATTTTACACCCTATTGACAATAATAGTTTGCACTGATTTGGGATTCGTATGGGTGAAACATCAATGCAATGAATAGAAATATAGGTACTCGAGTTCTGACTTCATGTACGCCATAGAGTGTGAATATATATAAATTACTTTTAGTTTAGGTATAATAAGTGTAGTTCATAGTTAGGTCAACTAGCATAATACTCCTCTATCTTAGTATAGACCACCACATGTAAAATTAACCATCAGTTCTATTCTACAGCTTAATTAAATGACATTGTCGAATATAAATTTTTCTTTACTGAATTGTCTTCATTTTGTTTGGTCAAATTACTGTCATATTTTAAACCACATAAATTAGTTATTTGTCACATCCTGACCTTTGCCGGTATGAGTCACACTTTAGGTATGAGGGCTAAAAATACTGCTACTCGGTTGCCCAGATCACAGTAGTGGAGCGGAGTTCGAACCCCAAACTTACTAGCTAAAAGTTGGACATCTTAACTGTTAAACCACTGCTTTGCCGACTTTTATCAGTCAGTGCTGACTAGTTTGAAGATAGAAGTCTTGAAAATGTTCAAATTTTATTTAGTTATTATTTTAATATGTGGTTATATATTCCAACTTTTGATTTGTTTACGCTAAATTAAATGAAATCATTCATGCTAAGTTTGTAATATTCACAATATAATTGTGCTTTCAGGATTACTTCCATGTTATGCTCGTGTCAATTTCTTGAAAACTACACTAGCTGATGTTATTGAAAAGCTTGAAACTTGTGGACTTAAACATGTGGAATATAATCGATCAGAAACTTCTTATCGAAAGTAAACATCTTTCTGTCTCTTTATTTTTCTCTTAAACAGTCAGTAAGAAATGTAAATAATTAATTTCTTTTTCATTATTTTCATAGTTATTATTTCAGGTGTTTATTTTCTATTCTGTGAGATGACTATCGTTACTTAGTTGTGATTTAATCTCTTTAGATATTCAACGTTCTTTATCTGTCTTGTTGTTATATTTGGTCGTCGCTGATTGCTGTGCCGGAAAAAGCCGCTGATCACTTATATTCGGAACGAGGGATCTCTACAATTCCCACGACGTGAAAGTAAAAATACAAAGGCTCGTATAAGTGAAGATTTATTAGCCCCAAAACACTATGACAACGACAAATCGAATCAAATCTAGTCTAAAATACACTGGTTTATATATTGATTGTACAGCCATTCTGATTAATAATTAGGATTAAATCACATACTTAGTTATAACAAATCACTTACTGAGCATAGTTCATGTCAATGGAATATAAGAATATCGTTTATTATACAGAAGAAAATATCATACTGAGAAAACAAATCGAATACTACACTGAATGATCCTCACGTTGAATCAAAACGGATATTGAATGTTGAACAAAACTCATAATGAGTAATTTAATCGAAAATTGACTTTTCTTTCCATCATATCACTTGTATATGGTTATAGGATAAGAGCAGGTTGTTCATTTCATTCTGTACTTAAACTACAGTCATTTTATAAATAATGAAGTAATTATTGATATTAAGGCGTAATGGTCAGCCTTGGTTGGTATATGGGCTTCCTGTGCGGATTACCTCGATATAACCTCTGTGACACAAGTTGATATAGACTAGATACATCTAACTAACGAGTCCCTCATAGGACGAAATGCTCACCTTAGATTCCACTGCTAGTCACATAACGTTCATATTGGGAATGGGATAATTCAAACCATTTCAAAGTGAATTAAGCGAGAAAGAAGCTTTATGGACTAAAATCAAATTGAACAATCTGTGTATACTCATCCATACATATATTCCCAATCACTACTTAATAAATTTGTAGTAGTTTTAACTGACTCAGATTCTCATATGATGATGATGATGAAATGATCGTGGGAATACTTTTATGTTAGATCATAAGGGAATACGAGATGATCTTGTAAATACCAATAATGTGGGATATTACAAGCTCTAATTGCTCAGGTGGGAGCTTAGAAAACCATTTTAAACAAGAAAAATATTTTATCAAGAATTATGACAGACTGAAGAAAATATAGTTGTAAGTCTTGCGGCAAAACATTAATAATATATGTTCTAAAAACGATACGAGCATACTACTTAAATTAGTGAATAGGTGATAAAGTATTACTGAAAATGGTAGTTTTCTTTTTATTTGCTAAGCATAGAATGCACAAATATGTTGGATGTAAAGAATTCGCCTAGGGAGAAATTCTGGGTCCAAACCAATCGTGTACACAAGCTTCAAAATCCTGGGGAAGCAAATGGAATCTGAACATATTTTTGATCATCGCTTATCCATGGGATGTTGTTCCACTGCCTTGAGAAGTACACCTATGGTTCAAAGCCTCGGAGAGTGGGACTTCCTAAGGAAATTACTTGATTCGCTGTAGGAGTCTGGTTGGTATCCCAATCCATGTACAGATATTATAGCGATTACCATTAAAGATAATATCCTCACATGTGAATATTAAATAAAATTCTCAAAATCGTTACTATCTCATTGTTTTCCTATTCAGATTTCGTAAAAAAGTTTGTAATCTTGATCGTGGTGAATTCATGTTGGATTATCATCTCCCTCATCTACTGTTAGTATTTCCCTCTGGTACTGTTTTACATGATTTAGAATTGTACAAATCTAAATCTCTACTTATTCAAGACAAGGTAAAGTTTCATAGATAATTGTTTAAATCATCATTTTCATATTGATCAATGATTTGACAGTAATAAAAGATTATTGAATAAATGTTTCTTATTATTCTAGGAAGTACTTGAAACAAGTAGTTATCACTAAAAGAAATCAGATTCTGTGATTAGTATTGTTAAGAATGGAATGCAATAGTGATTGCAGTTAATCTACTAGGTATTATTTGGTTTAAAAGATTGCGCGACCAACTTCCATTGTACTGAGGTTGATACCTGTCTCTACCCGACATGGATTAGTTCCAATGGTCACGGCTTCCCACCAGAACTCAGAGAATTTTCTCACAAGACAGGTGTCTACCTCAGTACAATGGAAAATGGTCGCGCAACTTCGTGGATTGGTTAGAGTTAGACATTAACACAACTGGATGCCGGCTCAGTGGTCCAGTAGGTTAAGCGTTCGCGTGCGAGACTGAAGGCCCTGGGTTCGAGTCCCGCGGGCGGGATCGTGGATCCGCACTGCCACTGAGGAGTCCCACAACATAACGAAACGACCGTCCAGTGCTTTTCAATGGTGGTCTAACATCAATCGGTTCATGATCTCAATCAAAAACTTAATAATCGCCACAACCCCTAAACTGATAGATGATCATGTTGTATTTGTATTCAAAAATTACTTTTTTTTTTACCAAAATGTTACTATTTGTGCTATTCATTTATTATTTTCTGAGTGTGTTATTTATAACTGTTTCTTCAAAGGCCAGTTGTTTCAGTGCGGAGATTCTTCAACCAGATCCAAATTCAGATGTTTTAGATGCTTGTGCTGCTCCAGGAAATAAAACATTACAATTAGTTTCTATGTTGTCCAACAAATCAACTATTTTCGCTGTAGATCGTGATCCAAACAGGTTAGCTCTCCCTGTTTTTCTTTTCTACGCTATTAAGTACTAATAATTACAATCCATATAAAAATAGAAGTAGCATTCGGTTCACTTACTATGGGGGAATTTTAAAGATCTGTTCATTAATTGACTTGAGGACAGCTATTTTGTTTTTGATTTGCTATTGCATGACGGCAGCATTTCAAATGTTAATCAGGGCGATAAACCTTCTGACTGAACGCTTGAATGGGTTTTTTGAACTCTTTTAATAACTTCCGGCTAAATCTACTCGACAACTTGAACACGCGAGCAAAGGCGCAAAATGTGTAAGGAACGCTTTACTCCAAGGTTGGTTCATGTGCAAAAAATCGATTGTATTTATAGCATTTCAGATGGTTTGGGACTTCTGGAAGGTTCTGGAACCCTACTAAACATAATCACAGTACAGGTAATCATCCAGTCAGTTGTGTGACACGTGACTCTCCACTTTCTAGATGTTTCTGGGAAACTTCAATTCAATGTTGATTGGACAAAATTTTTTCCCAGAGTTTTCAGGGCCTCTGTGGGCTTCTTTCGAGGAATACTCTGGATATCTCGAACAAGATTCAGTGAGGGGTTGTAGAGATCGTTGAATTTCATTGAAATCATGAACTGATCTAAGTTAGATCACCAATTAAAACCTGGAAGCACTGGACAGCGATTTCTTCCCTGGTCGTGACTACTCAGCAGTACGTATCCGCTACCCTGTATGCAAGAATCAAACCCAGAATCTTCCATCTTACTCGTGAGTCCTCAAGCTCTAGACCACTGAATCGGCATTAAACGATGTTGATCTCTAGTCTCAATCAATTCACGACATTGCGTGACCATCATTTATTGTCTTCAGTGGGTAACTGCCTCACATTCGACAGAGTATAGATTGCATTTGCTTCATTGATTTCGAAATGTTTTCACAAATGTCATCCTAGCGATTTCCTCAAACGAGCATAATTCACCAAAGATTAATCCTTAGATATCAGCTTCGATTTGTTGGGATAAAATGCTGATCAAACACCATTGGATTTCTTTTCAACGATCCATATATTTGTCTTTTATCATGTTTATTCAATGTGTACTTTTTTCTTTGTTAACCATCAGAATCAAATCGTTTTATAAACTTATTAGTAAACAATCTTAGTATAGATTAAATGTTATAATTTTTCTTTAGATTCCGACGTTTTACTGAAAATCTAATTGTCAATGGAGTAGAACGATTGTCAATAATGGATTGGTCTAATTCTAATAAACAAAATAATAAACATAGAAAATCGGTTCAAAGTTCACAACCATCCGTTGAAGCGTATTGTTCAGATTTCTTATCTATAGATCCATTTAATCCAAAATTTTCCAATGTTCAATCAATTCTTCTTGATCCTTCTTGTAGTGGTTCTGGTTTATCAATTCGTCAACCAGATGGTAGTGAACAATATGAAAAATGCACATATAAAGATAGTAATAATTATACAGATGAATATAATGAAGAATATACATCTCGTTTAAAACGATTATCGAATCTTCAAGCTATGTTATTAAAACATGCATTAAAGTTTCCAAATGTTCAACGTGTTGTCTATTCAACTTGTTCAATACACCCTGAAGTAAGAATTCTTCTAATATAATCTAATTTTATGTTATTATCATATTGTAGATATGTATGACTGGTTAGCGTTTTTTTAGCGAGTTAGTTTTCTACGGGACGGGTTCACTAGTCCCATGCCCAACCCTCTTCCTTTGTCTGGGCTTGGGACAAGCAGTAGCCCCGGAGGGGCTCCAGGCGGGGTTAAACTCTCCCGTGCCGGGAGTCGAACCCGGGCCGCCTGGATGAAAGCCAGGAATCGTAACCCCTAAAGAATACTAGTCGGCGGCCTATGCTTCATTGGGAGTAACAGGCGTAGGTAAGATATGTATAACTGTGCAATTTGTATACAGTTTTGTGTGCTAAACTATACGTCAAACTTTTGTCGTATAATTAAAATTAGACAGATCTACTTGTACTAAGTGGTAATAATTTATATTCTGAAAAATAATGATTACAGTATTCACGACAGTTTACAGGCATGATCAGTTTGATATAAGTAATAACGTTAGACGTGCAGAACAAACATGTGATAAAAGAAAGTTTTAAGTATACTAGTTCAGTAGTTGTTTAAGTAGTACATATATTACAGCGATCCAAAGCATCAGTCGGGAATTTTTAATATTTCTTATATGGATTTATGAACGGTGTAATTAAGGTCAATCCGTGTGCCAGATCGAAATAATGATAATTATCTACAACTACAGAAATTAAAACGAAAACAGAGAGCACAGAACAACAAAAAAGTAATTACCAAAATATATGAATCAGGTCTACCTAAATGCGTGTGTCATGTGACAAAGTGATATACTGTTTGTGTTATTCAAATTAGTTAAAGTTGCTAGGGGCGGTGTTGACATATTGACAGCAAGTGGGTGGTTTTACTAAGGGAATTCACTAATAAAGATGGCTAAACATTTAAGGTTCCTAAAATATCACTTGTGGAATGAGATACACTTAAAGGCGCTAGACCATTCAATGCATTTTCAGAAGAACAGTATGCATCGATGCAGCGAACAAATAATGGGAGTGATTTTATCGTGCGGATAGATTGTGGTAGGTTATTCCAGAGTCTAGAAAATTTACAGGTGAAGTAATTCATATAAAGAGATGAATCAGAATGAGTTTGTTTCACTAGTGCCAAGGAATTACGGATGTCATAATGAGAGGTTTCTGCATATTGAATCGCGTGATCGGATGTAAACGATAGTTTATGAAGTAGTTTGAAGAAAAAGATAAGATTTAGTTTGAGTCTCCTCCTCCATAAAGGGTCTAGCTCAAGTTTATTATATCTGGAATTATAAGTTAAGGTACAATCAGCTCCAAGAATACGAGGTGTAAATTGTCTCTGTACTAATTCCAGCCTTAATTTATCCTTTATGAGCGCACTGCTAAGAATAAACGTGCAATATTCTAGAAGAGGTCGAGCACAAACTTTGTACATTAGAATACGTGACTCAGTGTTGTAAAGATTTCGAGTTATGTAACCTATTAGACGTTGAGACTTAGAGGTCTGTTTTAATATATGTTCTGTAAATGACAAGTCTTGGGAATATCTAAGTCCTAAGTCTACTACTGTATGTAACCTAGATAACACTTCACCATTTATGGTAATGTCTAGGTTGAGTGGTGTATCGCCGAAGCATATCCATCCACATTTAGCCGTATTAAGCTCCAGTTGCTATTTTAAGCACCACTGTGTTACCTTGTTAAGCTCCATGCTGATACAATTTTGCATATTCGAATGATTTTCATTGAGATCATGGTTGATTCATGATTTCAATTAAACCCAACAATCTCTACAACTTTATAATGACATCATCCAATGTTTTAAATACACGAGGGTTAGAATTAATCCATTGGTAATATTATTGTGGACTTCATTTAATCATTTTCCATTAAGATAATGTAAATGCTGGGCAGATTGTTCCGATTATACTTTTTAGTAAAGTTGGATTGTGACTAGTAGTGGATGCGCGTTTTGTCTACGTGAGGGGTCATCAGCTGTATGTACCTGGGAAATGTACTAGGTCTAAGCTCCAACATGGATATCAGCACTGGGGTGTGCCATGTACATCTGGCTAACGTGTTCCAAGTAGGATGAAACACCCATCCTGGATTTTACTGCTCGCCACAATTCAACTTTACAGATCCAGTTTTGGGAAATTGAATAGTTAGATCATTCAGTTACATTTTAATGTCAAGTGTTTTACATAATATCCATTCTGGGTAAATTTAAGGGAATATTTATACTGGTTGACAGTTATTTCTGTTTACCTTGAGGCAGTGTAACTTGATCTATGGACGTTGAGACGATATGGGTAGATTACTAGTGTGTAGTCACAATTGTTTTGGAAGTGTTACTGTTGTATGCTGAATTCGTAGGGTTAGCAGTGCCATGATATACTAACACCTAAATGGTTACCTAGCACATGTCAATCTGCACAAAATTCTGAATTGAGAATAGGAAATCTCAGGATGCAGCTTGTAAAGAAGAGGGGAGAAAATTAAAAGTGGTAAGAATTAGTATCATCGTTTGTCTAGGTAGTGGACATACGTATTACAAACATTTTTAAAAACAATAACTAGAGTTCTTGGCTTGAGTCCCTGAAACTTACACTATGTGTAAAAATCAAATAAAAATCCATTCAGAAATTTTGAAGGCATTTACTAGATCACTTTAAACGGTTTGGTCTACTTCATGACGCGCTATCAACCGAAAGTGATAAAACGGGGCTACAAAACAATTTTGTTAGATTCTTTCCCAACCAGTAAGGGAGGTTCTTTCTAACTTGACTAAGCTGTACCATCGTATAACCAATGTATCTCCTCTTGGGAATCTTGTCAACTTTTGTTATTTTGGGAATAGGGTACTCAAACTCAATAATAAAACTGTTTATAAAACAAAAAAAAACGCCGTTCACAACTCTTTTATGAAAGCCATTGAAAATCAGTGTAGTCTCAAACCATTGACTGTTTTATTTGTAGCAGTTTGTGTCTTCTCATTCTTGATATTAAAGACTGTAGTGAATAACTTTCTATGGATTACATGTTCATCCTGAGCAGATTGACCTATTGTTGTTTTGTGACTGCAGATTTGATGGTAGCGTACTATCGATTGGATCAATGACAATAAAACACGTAAGAACAACCTAGAGTTCTGATTGGTCCCACTTCCCTGTCTATCCCAGCCAGCTGAGTCCAGAACGCAAGTCTCAGCCTCTGAGATATTCTCATCGAGACACAACACCTATAAAGTTTATTTCTAATTTGTTTGAAGAGATTTTCTTCTGAAATAATGATAATATTAATTGTGCATTTTGTTGTTGTTGTTGCTGCATGGTTATGTTTATTTAGGAAAATGAAGCAGTTGTACGTGAAATTGTTGATTATGCATCAGATAAATTTTATTTAGAAACAATTTGGCCATATATTGCATCATCTTCTAATTCTATAAATCAACCAATATGGAAACATCGTGGTCTATCTGATATATATCAATGTGAATCATGTATACGATCATCTGAAAAAGATTTAACAAATGGATTTTTTGTTGCTTTATTTATAAAATATAAATCAAATAATTCATTGAATGTTACATCACCACCACCATCATCATCATCATCACCACCACCATCAATTATGACTACTGAATTAAGTGTACCTGGTAACTCATCGTTGACATCCAATAATAATGAAAATGTTAATTTGGAAAAACAAGAACCATTTACTTTTAAAATACGAAAGAAATGTAGAACTAATCTTTAAGTGTTTAAATTTCTGTCATAAAATTGTATTATATTTTGTAAATTAGTAACTATGACTATGATGTTGTCATCTTATAATGTTTAATTAAAGAAAAGAAAAGAACATATAAATAGACAAAACTTTTCATGTATTTTTGTGTGTATGTATGTGTGTGTATTTTTTTTAGGGGGTGTGGTGTTGGTATAGTTTTTCTGTTTATGTGTTAATACCTTCATTTCACAGATTGAAATCATGAATCAATTGAAGCTAGACCACCATGGAAAACCTGGAAGCACTGAACGGCCGTTTCGTCCTAGTATGACTCCTCATCATGAATTGATAATAATAAATTTCGATGGTATAATAAGAAAATAAAGATTATCAGAAAACTATGTGATGATATTCACTTGGTGTGGTTTACTTGCATCTTCCTATTGTTATTTAGGACTAATTGATCAGTTTCTTATTGGCATATATGGATCCTGTGCGAACCGTCTCGATATTGCTTGAACAAACAAAGATGGATAGTGGCTAACAGTGAAATCCAGTTTGATGCTCATTTCGTCCTATTTGGTGCTCGTCAGCTGGATGTGCCTGCATCTCAGAGTTGATGTTCACTCTGGGACTCGAACTCAGTACCGTTCGCTTAAAACGCCATCGCATTATCCACTTAGCTACTGAGTCCTGATAGCCACTTGCTTGTGCAATGGGATAATGTTATATTAGCGCAATGCATTTCGAACAATCTGATCACACATATACTTGTCAAAAACATTTATATGTAAAAATAATAGGTCAACTAGACTAGAAATCGAGGGTAAGAGGATATGATGTAATCTTGTGTTGAATTAAAGAAAAATACATATAAATAGACAAACTTTTCACATATTTTTGTGTTTTGCCCTGTATGTATGTGTGTGTGTATTTTTGTGCGGGGGGATATAGTTTTTCTGTTTATATGTTAATACTTAAATTATTTACTTTCTTAAAGTCTATCATCATGAATTGATATTGATAAGTGATTGGAAAAGCTCTTGACTACTATGAATATACTTGGATTAATCAGTGATTTATAGAAACTGTCGTGGCATGAAAGAAAGCTGCAAAGGACTGGCCTGTGTTGGTCCTTCACGACTCCCTGGCTGAGGTCCGAGAGACGGTGCAACACAGTGGCTAGAGTCGTTATCAGATATGGCTCAGAATAGGAGCCAGTGGCGATCCTACTGTAACCTTATTTTACTTTCTTCATAAAAAGTGGTTGTGTCTTCCTTAACTGAAAGATCTCTTCTGATTGTACGTTTCTGTTTCTCCCATTATTATTATTATTACACTACCTTACAATAATCTGTTCGTTATTGTCCTTTTTAACGCTCCTTACCTTTCTTTTTTTCCTTCTTCTCTTCGAATTCTCATTGTTTTGTGGGGCGCATATGTATTTAGTGCCCTCTTGTACCAATATTTATGTGTTCAAATAAATAAATAGATAATCGAAAGAATCCTATATGATGACAGATTGGGTTTTTATTAATCGGATTGAACGTTAATTGCCTGTGTTAACACTTTTAGTATGCTTTTCAAAAGCTTCTAGAATCTCAGTGTTACACAATGCTGTAAATATCCTTGTTTTCTGTACACAAATTAACCTTGGGATTTAAAGCAGTGGGACTGAAGTCTGGGAGACGAACTAATCAGATTTCATATAGCACCTGTGGAATTTGTCTGTGAAACCCATTTACTTATGAAAGGTTACAAAAGATTCATGCACTATAACTGATGTCATTTTTATCCTACCTTTTAATCTTAATTCTCAACACTTATTCCTAACCTTATTTTGGGCCGAATTAATTGTAGAGATTTCGTAATGTCATATTTGAAACCATTCAAGATCATCCTTATACCTTAGTTCCACTGTTAAAATTATTCCCGCACCTTCTACCTTTTGTTTCCAACTCGGTGTGTAATGGTAGAAATTACTGGGGACTACTAGGAGGTGTGTTAAAAAGTTGATTTTTTAATCGCTCAAGTACAAAGTATGTCATTTTGGCATCTAAAATGGTTAAAGAATGATTATTTCATTATGATTTCAAACTTTCTACCATCGTGTTTCTGTTTTAAAGCTCGCTACTCTTATTTTGTGTTGCCGGTGTACGTAACTTTTAAGCTACTGAATTTGTAATGATCATTCCCTGCTTTGTGCATCATCTTGAAATCGTATATTTTTAAATGGTTATAAATGCTTATAGAATAATGTATTATTAAGTGCTTGTCTGCATTAATGTTCTTATATCAGTATATTCAACCAACCCCCAAATGCCCTGGTATGGCCGAGGGTGGGGAGAGTCAGCTCGCTCTCCAAGTGCTCTCACATGACCACGCGTTTACAGCCACTGCCAAGGAAGTCCTACTCACTCCGCTATCCCACCACGGTTGCTGTTTACGAAGTTGAGAGGACGAAAAGCGAGTGTCCAGAGCTTTAACCGGGTTGATGGACACGGAGGGTTCACCTAGGAGAGTTTGAAAAACTGTAGTTCCAAACTAATGGTGCATATAGGCTTCAGGATCCTGAGAAATGGATGGTGTGTGAATCAATTGTTGGACACGGGCTACCATGAGACTGCATCTCCTGACATTGCTCCACTGCCTTGTGGATTATACCTTTAGGTCGAAGGCTCGGGGAGTGATCCTTACGAAAACTATCTGTTCGGCCTGGGCACTCGAGCAGTATCACATCCCACACACAAATCACGACTTGTATGGAGGATATTTATTCGGTGCCAATTTGTACCAATGTTTGCGTGTTCAAATAAATAAATAAACATCCTTTACAAACTTCTATCAAGCGAATACAACGCTCTTCTAAAGCATCTATTATGAGTAGATAGCTAACAAAACTTAAACAAACAAGTACAATGTTGATTTTGTTTTATCATTTTGATAATAATCATCTCACTAGTGAATGACTTCCAGGGATACTCCTGGAGTTCTAATGAGAAGCCGTTACTAGTGGAGTTCAACCAGGTCTGTTGTGAGCTATCAACTCACTGAGGACAATGGTTTACGGTGGCACAACTTCGTGAATTGGTTGAAGTTAGACATTGACACTGTTGGATGCCGGCTAGCTCAGTGGTCTAGTTGGTTAAGCGCCTGAATGCGAGACCAATAGGTCCTGGGTTGGAATCTCGCGGGGTGCGGGATCGTGGAATGCACTGCGGAGGAGCCCCATACTAGGACGAAACGGCCGTCCAGTGCTTCCTGGTTTTCCATGGTGGCCTAGCTTCAATTGACTCATGATTTCAGTGAGTGATAAAAATAATGATTAAAAATTTGAAAAAAAACATTGTAACCCTCAACCAAATAGTTCCTATCGAATATTGTCAATAGTTATAAATGTTTCATAACTGTTACGAGTTTTATATATGCCATTATATATGACTTTATTTTTAGGTTATTTGATCTCTTCTCTATTGAAAGTGTCGTTGATTATAATGAATACAGAACATCTTGAAAATGTGGAATCGGTAAATGGTTTTTTTTATTTTAAATATTTAACAGATATTTTCCTTGCTACTACTATTACATATCTGTCAATGTTTAATATTTATTTAAACTATATTCTGTTTTCGGGATGGATACATTTATTTCCAGATGTGTTTCCATTCCTGGGCATTGTCTAATATATTTACACGAGAGCTTTGATTGTTATATCCTGTAGATCTTCGACCAATATCACGTTCCAAATCGCCGATCAAAATCCTGATTTTAATTTGGTTTATTATTTATGATATAGCTTAGTGTCTCTGACTTGATGATTTACACACCCGACCAGTGCTATTGACCTTGAACTGATCACTGATTTCTAATAGGTGCACCGACTATTCACAAGCTTGTTTCTAAGTTATACCTTGAGTTATAAGTATCAACCAGCTTCTATAATATTAACAATATCAAACAGACGTGGTCTACATATGAATATACTGGACCACATCACACCGATCATACATGAAGAAGCTGAAAGTGACTTTAAATAGAACAAATTGCAGCATATAGATTGTCAATAAATGATGAATATTAAGTTGTATAACCGTAATTAATGGAATTGAAATGTATAAACATAGTAATCTAGTTACTCAGTAATTATACAATGCAATTATAATTAATAATTATTCAAACAACCAGTTCCAACTTTTACAATATTCTTTCTATTATAACACTGGTTACGTCATCATCCTCTATCAAATGCTTGAACATTGTAACATCGAGTATAGTATAGAAATGGTATTTCTTTTTCGTGATATTGGATCTGCTATCGATTCATTACTGAAGAATCCATTATAATAGAATCGTATGTTGAAGGCACTTCTGCTAGGATTTTAATAATATCTTAAGTGCAATTGTTAAGTAAACCCCTAGTTTGTATATATTTAATGAGTAGTCAACACTAAGCATGATGCATCACTTCCCGGCTAGTCAGTCCATCGATGTATACTTTTTTCCTGAGGAACTTGAGAAGGAAACTGGTTTAGTGGTTGGTTGGCTTTGATGATTTAAGAGTGTAGTCATAGTGCTTCAAAGATAAATACTTGAAGCCAGTCACACATATCTTTTATTCAAATTGTTTTAAACAAATTAACTCCATACTTATCCGACTTTACTGCCAGCTACGGAAATCCATGTAACTAAGTAACGTGTGCTATTTTTGAGGTCAACGTTTTCTATTTATTTTTTTTACTTAAACGCATAAACATTGGTACAAGGAGGTACCGAATAGATATGCGTCACATAAATCATTCGATTTGTATGAGACTGGGTGCCCAAACCGAAGCAGGTGGTTGATTTAAGGGCCACACTTAGAGCCTTTGATCTACAGGTCTGATCCACAAGGCATTGGAGCAACATCAGAAGATGCCATCCCATGGTAGCCGGTGACCAACAATTGGTTCATACACCATTTGTTCCTTCAGTGAGTAGAACGTCCCTGTTGGTGGTTGTGTACACATGGCCATGTGCGAGCATTTCGAGGA